GGCTTAGATTTTGATTGGAACACTTTTTTTGCAGGTTGCTGAAAAATGAAGTAGTGAAAAAAATTCCCAAACTTTCAAACGAACTTTGTTTTACAGTATTGAAAAGGATGGCTTAAATTATGTCCTTTTTTCAATAAAACTAGCGAACAAAAAACTACGAACAAAGCAATCAAAATGCTTTCAATCATTCGGCAAGTCACAGACTGGCCATAGAAAGAATACCTAAAATGCTCAAAAAGAGGGGGCAACTAATTCGAACTAAGACCCATTTCCCTTGATTTTGACACCACTTTTCAGTCATTTTCACTTAGTAAACTCGATCTCGGATTACTTGAATTTCATGCAAACTCGAAATAAGTTTCGTTTGCCTTCATCACAATTAATTCTAATTAATTCTAAATGAAGATAGAATTCCTTCAAACGATTACACAAGGGGAACCAAGTTGCAGAAATTCTAGATAATGTCCATTACCCATAAAAGACAAAGAAAAAAGTAAAACTAACACTAAAACTCTGTATCAGAGGTCAAATCCTGACGGCACAGTATTTTCACAGAAATCAACATGCACGTGAAACAAAGCTTTATGACCCCTCACTGTGAGACAACTGGCAAAAATATTAAGAAATGTAAAATTCAAGCATCCTCCAAAGGAAAATGTACCCACCTGAAAGTCAAGTCACAAAAAAAAATCAAATTGAAAATGTCGCCTCTTTAACCGGAAATTCACTTGTACTACCTCGTGAGATGATAATTTGGTCCTGCTGAATAGCGCACCCAATCGAGCTGCACATAGTGACAGTTAGCCGCCAAAATCTGGCAATCAAAGTGCCGCGTAAACTACTAGGCTATTAAACGATCCGGCTCTTCATTTATTTCAAAATACAGTTCCTTTTGTTGTTACATTTTCCAGTTCCTCGACCAGGAACCGATCGGATAAGCCAGTATGATCTCGCGCTTTTAAAACACGGCAATAAATTGTGTTTGGCCGTCGGCAACATGATTGCCTCCTCCTTTTCTGAACAGACCTACTAAGGTACATTTCCTGACAGTAACTTCGTCTTCTGCATTTAAAATAGAGCGAGAACAAATACAAGAGAAATCATTCAACATGGTTCGTCACCGACCAGTTTTGAAAACTGCAACGGCTATCTTGCGGAGAAGTGACCTATAAATACCTGGTTCAATTTCACAGTGAAAAGAAATGTCACGCTTAGAAAGAATGTTCAGCTAGTAAATAACACAAGTGAAAACACAGCCTATAATAGTCAGCTATTTTATCCAGTTTTGACTAGGGCCATATTTTGTCAGTGGTGCCTTTTCATAATTTCGTTTCCGAAACAAATTTTGTTATAACGTAGCAAACCATCCGGCTGCCGGCTGCCGTTGCTTTCCGTTGCCATTTGTGGGTATTGATCAATACTGTATTCACACCGACAACTAACTCTGTCTATCCAGAAACAACATAGTATTATAGAAGACTAAGACATTGGCTTATGCACTTGTTTGCTCCTGTTGGCTTGTATCGCACTGAGAGGTCATGGCACGCATATTAATATTCTGTGGTTTTGTTCCTGGTCGGCAAGATTTGCCCTCGCATGCAAGAGCATAAGAGTAAAAGTTTTAATAAGTATCAGGGTTTACGTGTCTATAATTTCCTCCAAAGTTTCTTCTGGATCTGATATAACTAAGCGATTTACTTTGGTCCGTGAATTTGATGGTTTAATATGGGCGCATGCCATTATCAAGGTCAAAATGATAAAATTAAAAGGCGTTCTTACCTGCTGGACATACTCTTAATGACAAGGATGCACTAAAAATGGAACACAGAAAGCAAATGGAAGGCAGTTGGTATCATAAAGTAACGTACTTAAACTTTCCACAAGGCATTTAGATGAAAGCAAGAAACAGTGGAAAGATTACTTACGTTACGCGACTTCCGTTATTCCTCAGATGGCATTCCGCGTACCCCGTGCAATAAATAATAGGCGTCATAATAGGAATTGCCTGTCTAAGTCTCAAAATTGACACCCTAACAAAAGAGAGGGATGGTTTACAAAGAAATTGCATTGTTTGCTGACAGAGTTTTAATGATTGACGTATTCAGTTTGTACACGATCTTTGGTGCTTTATTTTAAATACACGTGCTCGACTTCGCACTAGCCTGCGCGCGGTGCACCCTAGTTGTCACTCAAAGCCAACGCTATCTTTGAACTTTCCTAACTAGCTGTTTAAGTGGTTTTGAACAAAATTCTCGTTGGGTGCCCCTGTCAAACTGTACAATATATCTGTAACGACTTTCCGTTTCTTTAATAAATCCGTTAAAGAAGAACGGCTAGTCCGTTCGAAATATCGGAAATACTAAATAATACTGTTTTGTTATCACAGTTCATTCCCCCAAAATACTCTTCCCGTCCTGTGTGAACGGGACGAAAAGATAAAAAAAGATTATAAAAGAATAAAAGAACAAAAATTGACATATATGTTTATAGGATCGTCACA